AGCAAAAGAAAGTTCAAATAACCACTGATTTATCTGATTATAAAGTAGAAAATGACGATTACAACAAAGATAATGTAGAAAATAATAAGGTAAGTTTTTTCGTAAATTCTAGTTCTTAATATTTGACAAAATTAACACATAGCCACGTAGACGGGTCCGTTCCCTCTCACTGAGGAACACCGACAGATGATTGAGCAGACATTTAATGGTATGAAAAAGGAGAGAATGTGGAGACTTTCAACAGGAAAATATGTCGAGGAAGAATTATTCGAACTGGGGAAGAAGTTAATATTTGAGCAGTCAGTGTTTATATAAGTGGATTTTCGGTAGTAACTGTATTATGGAAAACAAAATTGTACTAAATTACCGTTTTATTTTTTAGTGCCGTTCATTCCTTTATCTTGGATGTCGATGACTGGATAATTTGCCAGCATTTTAGCGAGGCAGAACTAGATGAAATTGATTGCGCCCCTGGCCCACAGGTACCCGAGCTCTCAGAAGAAATCACTGGATTTCTAAACAAATTCGCTGGCAAGGTAATACTTCATTCATATGTTACTGACAAAGATGTATGTACCGCGACAATTTATCAATATCTTTTCCTGTTGTAGACGAGCTTGAAGGAGATTCGAAAGCTCATAAAGGAAATGATGTTTGACGATAATTATGATCATGAAAAAGATCATGATAAGGATTACATAATCTATGCTTTATATTCATTGTAAGTATTTCTGTGGCTTGCACATGGTGTAGTTATTATTATAGCCTTTGGATGCATCAATGGTGAATTGACTAAATCTGTTTTTATAGAGTGAGAGAAATTCAAAGTGGAAGCTTGAAAGACGCAAATCTTGAAGCTTGGTTTAATTGTCATGTGTGGAACGCGATCTTCGATCAAGCTTTTGGAGATGTAAATGCGATATCCGTCGTCAGGTAACTTTCTAAAAAATATATGTATAGCTTGCTTTGATATATCTAACAGGTTTCTTTTAACAATTTAGAGGGGAAAGTACAAGCTTGGCATCGGCGTCACGAAAAAATATAAAAAGAATGTTAGGAGAACGGCGGAAAATGGGTCGCAAGATTGATTGGATCTTAAGATCTATCAGTAATGGCGATAGAGATGAGTTCGGAGCTGGGGAAGTCGGAAAAAGTTGGGTGGATAAAAATGGAACGAAGTTTCTCAAGGAGGCGGGATTGAAGCTACCTAAGACACTCAAGGATATGTTAGTAAAGTTGATGGAGAAGGCATGTTGGGATGAAGAAAGTCGTGCAAAAATTCAAACGGTTGGAATAATTCACGCTGGTATGTCCTTGTGTATTTAAGAATCCATTGGGTTCTCGCTGTTAGCTAATATAATTTATAGGTTTGATGATTATGACGGTCTGTCTGGACAACCCAAAAGGTTACATCTGTAGGGTACAACGTGGTGAACTAATGGAAGTTCCGGATAATGCAGAAAATTTTCCTTACATCCTCACAATTCTCGCATCTGTTCTGATCATAAAGGTTAGTTAAATTTATGCTTTTCACCTAACGATTATATATCTGTACTAATATAAATTGATGTATTTATGAATGTTAGGCTATGGTTCAAGAGATAATAAAGACGGTTCAAGCAAAAAAACAAACAGTCAAATCATTTAAAAGGGCCGGGTTTCGAAAACGACCTCTAGACAAAAATAAGGACCGAATATCTCCGTGTTTATCAACTCCGAAGAAGGCTAAAGTATGTGCAGAAGCATATACCGAGCAATCACTTCCATCATCCCCGTGTCCTGGATCATCATCGCAATGTTCTGATTTATTCTCATACTTGGAATAGGTTTGGAATGTAACATTTCTTGCATATCATAATATTTGGTGATAACAATAAAAAATAAATCTAATATCATGTTCAAGAAATGATTTCCGTATAATACAGAGAGCAAAGTCTAATTATCACGCGTTATTTGGGTAATTCTTTCGAAGGCGGACAGTGTGTTTTCGGACCCCAGAATAATTACCCCGAAAATTTATATTGATACATAGTGTGGATCAAAAATAATTGGAAAAAATCAAAACTCATTTTTATTAATAATTTGATAAATAATTAAATAATTAAAATAAAAACAAACATGTGTATATTTGGAGATATGAAGAATAGAAATATATAAAAAGGTATTAAATATATTAAAATAATATAATTAAATTATAATTAAAGAAAGATAGCAATTTAAAACTTAAAATTTTTTGTTAATTACAAAAAAAACAATATCATTATTAAAATTATTTCAATATATAAATTAATTAAATATAAAAAACTCTTTTTCCATATATATAGTACTTACATTGGCAAAAAATTACCAAATAAGAAAACTCCAAAATTTCTTTTTTCAAGAGAAAAACCAAAGATTCTAGGGATTTCCTTTTCTAAGAGTTAAGCAAACAGTCATAAATATACATGTAGTAGAAATAGGTAGATTCTTGATGCAATTTGATGCAATTATTTGATGCAATTAATTGAGTCACTATTAAAACATATTAAATAATTGAGTCAGATGCAATTATTTTTGAGGA